GACACAAACACATACACACACACATCACACACACATACATACACATGCTCACCAGACACATTGCTCAGACAATACACTCTGTACATTAACAATACACACGTTTACACTCACAAGACAAAGATAAAGAGTCCCCTTATAGCCTCAACAGACTGTAGGGGCAAGTGCTGTTAGCGAGTAGCACCTATGAAGGCCGGCACGGCACACGAGGGGGTGGGTGGCCAGCACCACGCCCGGCCGCCTTTGTCTCTCCAGTGGCGATGTTTACACACCGCACCGGGTACTCATGTTGAGGCTGAGTCGACCTAGGGGAGGCCCAGGACCGGTTAAGATAATCGTCACCGGTGTTGGCCGCGAGCGGGAATCGAACTCGGGTCGCCGGGTTCGTAGCTCAGCGTAGCGCTAACCACTGCACCACCGCTCCCCACCCACACCGACATAACCACACTGACACACACACACACGCGCACACATAGACTGACACACACACTGACACACACACTGACACACACACACCGACACACACTTACACACACACATACCGACACACACATACCGACAGACACACACATTACTCTACAGACAGTGACTCACGGGGGAAAATGTTGAATTCATTCTTGGCACAAAGGTGATTACACATCAACCACACACACGTCTGACACACACACACCGACACACACACACATTCACACATACACGTGGGCAAGACACGCTGAATGGGTGGGAATGCCTAAAATAAGGAACTCACCACGCCGCTCCCCACGCCACTCACCACGCTACTCACCACACCACTCACCACGCCACTGACCAACGTGAACTGTGTACACCTGAAGGCAGTCTGGTGTATGTGTGTACTATATTGTATGTGGTGTGTGTGTGTACTATATGGTATGTGGTGTGTGTGTACTATATTCCCTCTCACGGAACCACCACCACCATCAAACACCGGTGACGATAATCTGAACTGGTCCTGGTGGGCCTCCCCTAGGTCTACTCGGCCTCAAATTAGTGCCTGGTGCGGTGTGTAGTAAATATCACCACTGGGGAGATAACGGCGGCCGGGCGCGTTGCTCACCACCCACTCCCTCGTGTGCTGTGCCGGTCTTCATAGGTGCTCGCTAACAGCACTTGCCCCGACAGTCTGTTAAGGCTACATGGGGGAGAACTGCAGTGGCTAGGAGATGTTAACTACCTCGCCTGGTCTACAGGAGATCGTGGGTTCGATCCCGACCCTGACGCCTGCTGCTGTATATTTGGAGTTTGCGTGTCTCTCTCATCATCATCACGGTGGCTAGGAGATGTTAACTACCTCGCCTGGTCTACAGCAGGTCGTGGGTTCGATCCTGACCATGACGCCTGCTGCTGTGTATTTGGAGTTTGCGTCTCTCTCATCATCATCACGGTGGCTAGGAGATGTTGACTACCTCACCTGGTCTACAGGAGGTCGTGGGTTCCATCCCGACCCTGACGCCTTCTGCTGTATATTTGGAGTTTGCCTCTCTCTCATCATCATCACGGTGGCTAGGAGATGTTAACTACCTCGCCTGGTCTACAGGAGGCCGTGGGTTCGATCCCAACCCTGACGCCTTCTGCTGTATATTTGGAGTTTGCGTTTCTCTCATCATCATCACGGTGGCTAGGAGATGTTAACTACCTCACCTGGTCTACAGGAGGTCGTGGGTTCGATCCCAACCCTGACGCCTGCTGCTGTATATTTGGAGTTTGCGTCTCTCTCTCCGCGTGGTCGCGTGGATTTTTCTATCGGCCCCTCCGTTTTTTTTCCCTTCCACATTTTGAATCAACGTCACCACACGTTCAGAGTCATTTGATGATGATGATGATGATGAGCCAACTTCGTTAAGCTATCATTTGTGATAGCCGGGGTAGCTTCTGAAATCGAACTACTTGCAAAGCAGTTCAGTGTAGGGGGGCCTCGCCTGGTAAAATAAAAACAGGTGGACTGCTCCACATATCTAGCTGTCGCCTGATGAAGCTGGTGGTAATTGCTGGCGTAACGTCGTACTCAGGATTGTAAATGTTGTGGCTTGACTCTCCAACACACAGCCGGTTGGTGCTGTACTAGCGACGAATTGTCACGTTCTTTTAAATTATATTTTGTCTACCCACGTGACTTTACCGAAAGAACCAAAGAGTATGGATTCCTGCAGTCACGAAAGCTTCAAATCGAGATTGCCACGTTCGGTTTACGTGACAAACCTCACTAAATTGCTGGCGGCGGGTTGAATGACACATTGATATATTTACTCGATCTAACCCAAAAAACCTGTCCCATGAAATAATAAATAGTTGACTTCCCAGTTGCGTTGTGACAGTAACGTATATGTGATCGCAACAGTGGGTCTCCATCAGAGGTCGCAACCGGGTACCCGATACCCGTACCCTACCTGATACCCGGCTACCCATACCCGGCCAGGTACGGGTACCCGTTTGCGACCCTGGTGTGGCCGGGTACGGGTAGGCCGTGAGTTACTGGTGAGTAACCGTTTGTCACTCATTTCCCAACGTCTTGTCTCTTCTCACAATTCAAGTTCCTAGAATCAACCCACCCGCGCCTACAACATGGCTTCATCCCAGAGGTCGCAATCAGGTACCCGATACCCGTACCCTACCCGTACCTGGTCGGGTACGGGTAGGGTACGGGTACGGCCGGGTACGGGTACCCGTTTGCGACCTTGGTGCGGCCGGGTACGGGTAAGGAATCAAAACCCGTTTGTGACCTTTGGTCTCCATCTCTGCCCGACCCACACCATGGTACAGCCACAACCAGCGTAACCGTACGCACGCCTGCCCGCCATCGTCGCCAGGCCGAAACCGCTAAGTCAGCGTGCCGCTTGCCACGCCACGGCCACCGCTCGATGCCGTCGGCGACGTAGGGTGTGAAAGAAGTTCGACGGACATACTCATATTGACGCGTCGCCCTAAGTAGGGCTCTCGCGACCACATATGCTTAATGGGGTTTTTTTTGGGTGAGGTCGCATAAATATAATTGTAGTGTCGTTAAACCCATAATACTCACACTCACTCGGACTCACTTATACAAACTCCACTCACTCTCACACACTCACTCATACAAACTCCACTCACCCACACTCACTCACTCATACAAACTCCACTCACTCACCCACACTCACCCACACTCACTCATACAAACTCCACTCACTCACCCACACTCACTCATACAAACTCCACTCACTCACCCACACTCACTCATACAAACTCCACTCACTCACTCACACTCACTCATACAGGGGGAGATCATACAAACAACACTCACTCACTCACTCTGTAGAACAGGAGGAGATCATACAAACTCCACTCACTCACTCACTCACCCACACTCACTCAATCACTCATACAACCTCCATTGACTCTCTGTAGAACAGGGGGAGAACATATGAACGCCACTCACTCACTCTGTAGAACAGGGGGAGATCACACAAACTCCACTCACTCTGTAGAACAGGAAGAGATCGCACAAACTCCAATCACTCTGTAGAACAGGGGGGTATCACACAAACTCCACTCACTCTGTAGAACAGGGGGGTATCACACAAACTCCACTCACTCTGTAGAACAGGGGGAGATCACACAAACTCCACTCTATAGAACAGGGGGAGATCATACAAACTCCACTCACTCTGTAGAACAGGGGCAGATCACACAAACGCCACTCACTCGTACTCTCCTGCAGAACAGGGGTAGAGACGCACAGAAAGCTCCACGCAGAGGCGCCCGAGATCGGGAATCGAACCCAAGGCCCTTCATGATGTGGGCCGAGTGAGTCCTGCTGAACCGACGCCGCTGGGTCGCAATGCGACGAACTCTCCGGCAAGGTTTACGTTACCCAGCTGGGGACGCGTAAACCACCTTTTAAAGGCCTCTGTGTAAAGTTTACACGGCCGTTCCTGGATAGTTTCACCGCCACCACCGCCGCCACCACCACCACCCCACTGCGAAGAATCACCGTGTGCTCGTGTTGTTCTGCATATCGCGGTTGCCAAGCGCGCTCGCTCGCTCGCTCGCTCCGTCACCCGCTCGCTCACCCACCCGCTCGCTCACCCACCCACCCACCCACTCGCTCACCCACCCACTCGCTCACCCACCCACTCACTCACCCACATACTCACTTACCCAGCCACCCACACACTCGCTCACTCACCCACCCACTCGCTCACTCACTCACCCACCCACCTACTCACCCGCTCGCTCACTCACTCACCCACCCACCTACTCACCCACTCGCTTGCTCACTCACCTACCCACCTACTCACCCACTCGCTCGCTCGCTCACCCACCCACCTACTTACTCACCCAGTCACTCACCAAGTCACCAACTCACACAGTTACCAACTCACCCACCCATTCACTCACTCACCCACCCACTCACTCACCCACTCCCTCACTCACGCAGCCATTCACTAACCCATCCACCCATTCACTCACCCACCCAGTCGGCCACCCATTCACTCACCCACCCTCTCACTCACCCACCCACTCACTCACCCATCCACCCACCCACCTACTCACTCACACACCCACTCACTCACCCATCCACCCACCCACCCACCCACTCATCCACAAACCCACTCACTCATCCACCCATCCTCTCACTCACCCACTCACTCACTGGTGAGTAACTGTATGTCACTCATTTCCCAACGTCTTGTCTCTTCTCACAATTCAAGTTCCTAGAATCAACCCACCCGCGCCTGCAACATGGCTTCATCCCAGAGGTCGCAATCAGGTACCCGATACCCGTACCCTACTCGTACCCAGCCGGGTACGGGTAGGGTACGGGTACGGCCGGGTACGGGTACGGGTACGGGTACCCATTTGCGACCCTGGTGCGGCCGGATACGGGTATGGGGTAAGGAATCAAAACCCGTTTGCGACCTCTGCCTCCCGGTAGGGGCATCAGTCATATCCGTCCTTCATCCAGCAGTGGACTGACCACGGCTCGCGACTTGCTTGTGCCCCTGCAGGAGCGCCAGCGGCTGGAAACGATCCTCAGCCTCTGCGCCGAGTATCACGAGAAGGGCAGCATCTCGGACCTGCGCGGCATTATGGGTAAGACGGAGGGGGGCGGCAGCGGTGAGGAGGCCCGTCCTGTCGCCATGGCTACACCGGCGCCGGTCTCCGCGGCAACCGTGGACTCAGGTACCGACGCGGCCGTTATGGACCTCGTGAGCGTGAGAGAGGAGCAACCATTCCCAGGGCTTGTGGGGAGCGGTGGCGCTGCGGTTAGCGCGCTGCGCCAGGAGCCCGCCGGCCGGAGTTCGATTCCCGCTCGCGGCCAAACACCATTGGCGATTATGTGAACCGGTCCTGGGCCTCCGCGAGGTGGGCTCAGCCTCAAATGAGTAGCTGGTGCGGTGCGTAGCGAACATCGCCACCGGGGAGACAAAGGCGGTCTGGCGTGGTGCTGGCCACCCACCCCCTCGTGTGCCGTGCCGGCCCTCGTAGGTGCTGCTGCTGCTCGCTAACAGCACTTGCCCCTACAGTCTGTTACAGGCTACACGGGGATCTTTGTTTTATGGTGGTGGTGGCGGTGGAAGTGGTGTTGGTGTTGCCGTGACGATTCGTGTCCCCGTGACGATTGTCGCCATGACGATTTGTGTCGCCGTGGCGATTGTCGCCATGACAATTGTCGCCGTGACGTTTCATGTCCCCGTGACGATTGTCAACGTGACGTTTCGTGTCGCCGTGTCTCCACTCCCACCCAAGCTCAGAGCCCTGGAGATGACAGTCGTCATGACGACGCCAGCGCGGAGATGGGAGGGACCGCGGTGACGATGGCGACGAGGGGAGGAGGAGGCGGAGGAGGAGAGGGACCGACAGGGTGCCGTGATGAGTGCAGCAGCAGCACAGAGAGCGCGCAGGACGAGGTGAGGGCCGTTGATCAGGCTCACAACAACGAGCGGAGCGCCGGGTAGCTAAAGCACAGCAAGTTGGTACAGTAGGGGGCACAGGTGGTGCATCAGCCACTTGTCTCGGTCATCTCGGTCAGTCGACCCGTGGCACCTGCTGGGTCTGCCCCGTGACCTCCTGCCAGCGGGCGTTCGACACTTCACGTGGTGGCCTCAAGGTGCACATGGCCTGGCACAAGTGTCGTGGTGACGTCACCGCCACTTAGTGGCGAATGGCGGTCGTTGTTGTTGTGCTACCTGTGCTGCGACGGCTCGCCCCCCAGAGAAGGGAAAACGCTGCGGGGAGGTGATGTGGACTGTGGCCTGCGACTCCGAATACAGTGGGGGCCTGCCGAGTCACCGGACCAGTTTGTCAACAGCTGCTCGCCGTTATTTATATATATATATGTAACTTTATTATTTAATGAAGCGTGTTTGTTTTACAAAGTGGCTGGATGCGTGTGTGTGTGTGGGGAGCGGTGGCGCAGTGGTTACAGCCGCCCCACCAACCCCCGTGAGCCCAAGTTCGATTCCCGCTCATGGCCACCAACGGCGGTGACGATAATTATCTGAAGCGGTCCTGGGTCTCCCCTAGGTCGACTCGGCCACAAACGACTACCTGGTGCTGTGTGCACATTTATGAGCACTGGGGAGACTAAGGTGACCACAGCACTCGCTGGTGCGTATTTCCAGCCCTAACAGGTGCTCGCTAACACCACTTGCCCCGACAGTCAGGTAAATGGGGGGACCATGGTGGCTATGAGATGTTAACTACCTCTGCTGGTATACAAGAGATCGTGGATTCGATCCTGACCCTGACCCTGACGCCTGCTGTATATCTGGAGTTTGTGGTGTCTCTTTCTCTCTCTCTCATCATCATCACGGTGGCTAGGAGATGTTAACTACCTCGCCTGGTATACAGGAGGTTGTGGGTTCGACCCCTACCTACCCTGATGCCTGCTGCTGTATATTTGGAGTTTGCGGTGTTTCTCTCTCTCTCCCGGGTCCGCACTGACGCTCACCACGTTCACCACGCTTCGCCACGTACACCACGTACACCACGCTCACCACGCTCGCCACGCTCGCCATGCTAGTGGCGCGCGACATCGCTCCACGTGCCATGCCCAGATTGGACCGTTCGGCACGGCGATTCGGCTCGTGGCGAATTACTGACGCGCCGTGGCGAATTATCCCGATTACGAATGATCAAATTGCGAGGTTTTACTGTATTTCCCCTTCTTCTTCTTCCACGCTTTTGTCCCACTCATGCGGGGACCTTCCGCAGCCATTGGCAACCTTCTCCACGCCAGAGGTCGCAACCGGGTACCCGATACCCATACCCTACCTGATACCCGGCTACCGTTTGCGACCCTGGTGTGGCCGGGTATGGGTACGGGTAGGCCGTGAGTCACCGGTGAGTAACCGTTTGTCACTCATTTCGGGTAGGGTACGGGTACGGGTAGCGTACGGGTACCCGTACCCGGGCGGGTACGGGTACCCGTTTGCGACCCTGGTGCGGCCGGGTACGGGTACGGGTAAGGAATCAAAACCCGTTTGCGACCTCTGCTCCACGCTGCCCCGTCTTGCGTCATCTCTCTTTTTGCCGTTCTTTGGGCCACCATAGCCCACCTCTGCTTCTGCCTACGTCTTGTTCAGTTTTCATTTGTGGCCAGGTCGCTTCTGAAAAAGAAGCTAATGGCTCAGTGGGCTTTGCCTGGTAAGATAGAAATTAGTTTGGTTTCATTTATGGATTTTAGTTTGAGTGATCTGTTTAACCTTCTTACACGTTGCACTCCTCTGATGGTTTTTACGTTGTTTGTTATTGTAATCAGATTCCTGCTCCAGTATTAATAACACTGGTCAACAACAACAAAAAAACTTTATTTTTTGGCCTGGACTTTTGCAGCTGTTTTAGACTAATTTCAGGGTGCTGATTCCAAATCTGATCTCAGATTTGCTCTATCACATCTCATTTTTATGCTATCGGCATACCCCAGACGTCGCGTGTACTGTCTTTCCGACAGACCTGTTCTTCACCTGAGGGCGGCTGCTTGCGTTGTGGCCAAAACGTCGTGAGAATTGTATTTTATTACGTTTTATTTTTATTATTTTATTATTTCCCTTTTACGTAATATCGTTTAATTGGCCGTCGCAGCCGTTCGTGAGAGATTAATTAATCGGCGCTTGTTGCTGGCAGGGCTTCAACCCATTGCATCAACACTTGCGTGGCCACGGATTACATCACCGCTCCGGCTCGCAACTCATTAATCAAGTTGCAGGCGTGGGATACACGCTCGTCGATGTATCACTGCGTGACACCCGCGCTGCGTGTGCCATCAATGCTGCGCTGCCGCCCCCCGCACATCACGTGCGATAGGGAATCGGCAACCAGAGGACCTGCTCGTTAATTCCCAGGGCAACAGCACGCTACGGATGATACGGCATGCGTGTTAAGCCCTGAGTGAACACGCATGGGCGAGCACAAACACGTGGGTAAATACGCCCTCGCACACAACCAACGGCCCCGACGCGTGGTTGTTCTATCACTGAATACACCCGCCGCTCTTTACGTACGTACGCACGTACACACACCACAGAGGTCGCAAACGGGTTTTGATTCCTTACCCGTACCCGTACCCGGCCACACCAGGGTCGCAAACGGGTACCCGTACCCTACCCGATACCCGGCTACCCGTACCCGGCCAGGTACGGGTACCCTACCCGATACCCGGCTACCCGTACCCAGCCGGGTACGGGTAGGGTACAGGTATCAGGTACCCGATTGCGACCTCTGGGATGAAGCCATGTTGCAGGCGCGGGTGGGTTGATTCTAGGAAGTTTAATTGTGAGAAGAGACAAGACGTTGGGAAATGAGTGACAAACGGTTACTCACCAGTGACTCACGGCCTACCCGTACCCGTACCCGGCCGGGTACGGGTACCTGGGTATCGGGTAGAGTACGGGTATCGGGTACCCGATTGCGACCTCTGACAAACCACGTTACCACTCTCTCCACACTTCGCAGAAAACACACGAAAGGTGTATTGATTACTAAATGGTTTTATTCTCCGTGTGACTGAGATTACTCTCTACGTGGCTCGGAGCTGAAATCGGCAAGGAAACCACTCTGCCTCTCGACAATCTGAACCCAATTCGCCCGGCTTACTTCGAATTACCCTCTCAAGGGGTTCCTATACTATTCACTATCTCCCTCGTATTCACGGTTCAACGCTCCGGTGGGCCCGTCCTCACTGCACTTCGACTCGTCACACGGACGTTCGAGTGGCTGGACTGGAGAGTAGACCGTCCCTGCCCTTTCTACGGCCCTTTTATTGTTACCTACATCAAAGATAACTCGGCGCCGACCCGCTGGCCAATCAGATCGCTGGGCTTTCCTGCCAATCAGGTCGCTCGCCTGTACCCGAGTTCTACGTGCACCGTTGCTCTCAGTGACCAATCAGAGGGACGGCCCCGTTTTCCCTCCGTTCGAAGTTCCGCCCCGCCCCCCCCCCCCCTACCTGCCCGCTGACCCGTGTGTGTCGTGTGCGTTTTCTATCCGCGGTGGGTGCGCAGCCCCGTCGTGATCGTGCATTTCCACGTTAATTCACGGCGCCGCAGTGTAATTCAGCCTGGGGAAAGCCTCGGTCAATTCCCTGGCCTCAGGGAAAACCGTGGAGAATGTTCCCCCCCCCTACAAGGGGGGCTCCTGGGTGAAAACCTGTGGGCCAGGCGACTTCCCGGCGAGGCTCTATGTGGGTGTGTGTGTGTTTGTTTGTGCGGGAGATTGGTGAGGGGGAAGCAGCGTCGACCCCGTCGCTTGGCGGTGGTGGGGTCGTCGGTGGGGCGCCCGCAGAGTGGCTTCGCGGCTGCGGCATCATATTGACTACACACCGCACCAGCTACTCATTTGCGGCTGAGCCCACCTCGCGGAGGCCAAGGACCGGTTCAGATAATCGCCAATGGTGTTGGCCGCGAGCGGGAATTGAACTCCGGCCGGTGGGCTCCTGGCGCAGCGCGCTAATGTGTCGTTAAACCCACAACCAGCCGACACAGCCAACTAGTAAGGTTTGTCCCGTAAACAGAATGTGCCAATTTGTTACTAGTACAGCACTAGCTGGTGTGTTGGAGAGCAAAGCCACAACATTTACAAACTGAGTACGACGTTTCGCCAGTAATTACAACCGGCATCATCAGGCGACAGCCAGATCTGTTTACGTGACAAACCCTTACAAGTAGGCTGTGTCGGGTGGTGGCGGGCTTAACGACACAACATTTATATATTTACGCGATCTCACCCAAAAAAGATGTATTGTGGATGATATTGCTCGCGAAAGCCTACGTGTTAAACAAATCTTAATGTTGTTTATTATTCTTCTTGGTTCTTTCGGTAAAGTCACGTAGAAGGGAAATAATAAAATAATAAAAATAAAACTTAATAAAATAATTCTCACCACGTTTCAGCCACAACGCAAGCAGCCGTCCTCAGGTGAAGAACAGATCTGTCGGAAAGACAGCGTCTGAATGAACACCACCAGGCTTGGCAGCGTATATTTAAGCTGGGTTGGAGGGGGAAGAGCGCCTTGACAAAGGAATTTGCATATCAACAGAGGAATTTAGCATATTATTATTATTTCCATCCACCCTCCGTTTTTTCCTCGCGTATTTTTCAGGGCTACATCCAGACCACGTCGTCGTACGACAGAGCACCGAGCCCGCCCGAACAATCCCGCAGGGCGCCCAGACAGGAGGCGAGGCTGAAGTTGGCGGAACGGAAGCAGGAGGTGATGCGCCGGGAGGTGGGGCTCGAGCAGGAAGTGATGCGGCGAGGGGCGGAGCACCGGCAGGAAGTGATGCGCTTGGACGTGAGGAGGGCCCAGCTGGTGGCGGTGGTGGAGGAGCTGAAACGACGGATCCACGATGTGCAGAGCCAGTTGGAGGACTGCGCGCGCGAGGTATGTAGCTCTTTTTCAGAAAGCTAAACTAAAGACGGTTAAACTAAAGACGGTTAAACTACGGGGACTCGTCTACTTACGAACACATTAGGCTCCAGAGGTGCGTTCGTACGTCGATTTGTTCGTAAGTCCAACTTTACTCCTGTCCATTCCAAATATATTGTCCGCGCATGTACACTAAACACGGGGGGAATGGCTTTGAAAGTTACCACTGGTTCATGTTCTGCAGATGTAGATGGCACGCACGCACACAGGTGTGCAGCGTTGCATGTGTAAAAGCTCTCAGCCTTGTCCAGACCACCAGCTCAAAAGAACTGAACGCTGCTTATGATGATGATGGTGACGATGATGGCTTCAGCGGTGCTTCTAACGTTGCTGATGCTGCTGCTGCTGCTGGTGATGATGGTGACATTGCTGCTGCTGATAATGATGATGCCGCTGATGACGATGCTGCTGATTACGATGATGATGATGATGATGCTGCTGCTGATGCTGCTGATGATGATGATGACAACAACGATGATGCTGCTGATAATGACGATGTTGTCTGATGACGATGATGCTGCTGATGATAATGATGATGCTGATAATGATGGTGCTGCCACCGATGATGTCGCTGATGATGTCGCTGATGACGACGACGATGCTGATGACGACGGCGACGACGCCGCAGGCGGAGATGGAGCGAGCGCTGCTGGAGGGGGAGAAGGCGGCAGAGAAGTCGAACCTCGGCAAGGACCAGGAGGTGATCGCCGCGCTGCAGAGGAAGATGTCGGAGTTGGAGGCGCGCGTCGCCTGCCAGAGAGACAAGGTGACGACGATGACACCACCGCCGCACGCTTCTCCCTCCCTTCTCCCCCCCACCCCGCCCTCCGAAACCGGAGCACCCGGAGGAACCCACGTGCACGCGCGTACAATCTTGCGGGGCAGATGGAACAGATGTGGATTAGTCGGCGCTTTGCTGCTGTGTGCCGCCTTCTAACCTGGCAGAGCCAGGGGGTACGGCTCCTAGTCGACACCCACGCGGGTAGAAGGGAGTGAGGTGGAACAAATGGGGATTAGTCCACGGGTGGAAGGGAGTTTCCCCAACATCTCTCCGTGCGTGGTCCACCAACCCCCCCCCCCCCCCCCCCCCCCCACTCGGCACGACGCCGCTTGCCAGCAGACGCGCTAACGGCCTGGCTGCATTAACGCACCCCCCCCCCCCCCCATCGCTCCACCACCGCCATCATCGCCGGTTATCCGCGCAGCGTCGGGCGGGTAAACGCACGTGCCGTTTGCAAAGTTAAGCCCGGATTGTGCTGTCTATTGCATGGCCTGCTAACACATTTCATTGTGTGTGTGTGTTTGCGTGTGTTTGTCTGCGTTTGTTCGTGTGTTTGCGCGCGTGTGTTTGTGTGTTTATGTGTGTGTGTGTTTGTGTGTATGTGTGTTTACCTGCATGCGCGTGCGTGCGTGTAATCCACGCGCCGCTGTGTGCGTGCATGGGCACACGTGCACCGTCTACCTCGCTCGCTCCACCATCATCATCACCGCCACCACCACCATCATCACCATCATCATCGCCATCGCCATCATCGCCACCACCTACACCACCATCATCATCACCACCATCATCATCATCACCACCACCTACACCACCATCATCATCATCACCACCACCTACACCACCATCATCATCATCACCACCACCTACACCACCATCATCATCATCACCACCACCATCATCATCACCACCAACACAACCATCATCGCCACCACCACCACCTACACCACCATCATCATCATCACCACCACCACCATCATCATCACCACCATCATCATCATCATCATCACCACCACTTACACCACCATCATCGTCATCGCCATCACCACCTACACCACCGTCACCAACATCAACATCACCATCATCACTACCACCTGTATCACAACCTCACCACCCCTACCACCACCACCACGACCACCATAACTCCCACCACTACTAACACCACCACCGCCGCCGCCGCCGTTTGAACGACCGTGCCGCACCGCGCCGTGGGCCCAGGGTAAGGCCCGGCTGGTGGAGGAGAGGCAGAATCTGGACGATCTTCGCGCCAAGAAGTCAGACGTTGAAACGCAGCTCCATAGCTGCCCTGAGGCTCTCAGGGAGCAGATGGACGAGGAGCTACGCATGGTTCGTCACCCCCCCCCGCACCCCCCCGTCGCCACCCCCCCTGCCCCCCCCCCCGCACACCGCACCCCCCGTCGCCACCCCCCCCACCCCCCCCGCACCCCCCACACGCCCTACGCAGACCGCGCCAGCGCCGCTCACGCTGCCGGGGGGGGGGGGGGGGGTGCACGGTACGCAGGTTCCATCTCCTGGCGCCGCAGAAAACTGTAAGTTTGTACCAGGTTCCGGAGACACTTGTAGAGGTAACTTCTTTATTACAATCCAACAGCACTCCAACAGTCCAACAGTCCTGATACTCTGTAACAACTCCCAGGTACACAGCCTAGGTACACAGCCTAGATACACTACTCTGGCTACGCTCTGGAACTCGCCCTCACAAGGTCGTAGAGTCGGGAGTTCCAGAGTCCCACCACTGGCTCTCACAGCGTCCCAGGGTCCTCAGATGGCTGGTCTTGGGTCTTGGGTCTTGAGCTACGACTGGCCCTTTTATGCCTAGTCCCCAACGAGGGGTGGGGCCGTGTGCGCCCCCAGATATCCCACAGAGCACACACAGCCCCCCCCCGTTGGTGGCGCCAAGCGGCTTAAGCGCCTGGGCCACCCGCGAACCCAACGCCTGGCGCCAAGAGGCTTAAGCGCCTGGCCCGCCCAAGGTCCCAGAGCCCCCAGCAGCCCCTCCCTTCTTATGTCACTACAAGTTGAAGAAACTTTGGTTTTTCTTAAATGTTGACGACGATGGCGATGGTGATGATGACGATGGTGGTGATGACGATGGTGGTGATGACGACGACAATGACAACGGTGATGATGATGATGACGCCGATGATGATGACAACTACGACAATGATGATGACGACAACGACGGTGATGATGACGACGCCGACGATGATGATGACGATGACAACGGTGATGATGACAGTGATGACGATGACAGTGATGACGACGACGGTGATGATGACGACTACGACAATGATGATGACGGTGATGATGACGACGACGCCGACGGTGATGATGACGACGATGATGATGATGAGAGCGACGATGATGATGATGACGATGATGATGATGAGAGCGACGATGATGACGACGACGACAATGATGATGATGGTGATGATGACGAGAGCGACGATGATGATAACGAGAGTGACGATGATGATGATGATGACGCCGATGGTGATGATGATGAAGAGAGCGACAATGATGATGACGACGACGACGACGATGTCCCAGGTGAGCGACCAGCTCGAGTGCGGCGCTCGCCGCTTCGAGGACCTGGAGTTCCAGCAGCTGGAGACGGAGTCGCGGCTGGAGGAGGAGAGGGAGGCCGGACTGCACAGCGTGCTCAAGGACATGACGGAGCTGAGACGCACCATCGTCTCTCGCAAGGTGCCTCGCGTGCGGAGAGAGACACGCGGGGGGAGACACGCGGGGAGAGACACGCGGGGGGAGAGGGCACACGAGGAGACGTGGGGAGAGACACACAGAGAGAGACACGCAGGGGGAGAGACACGCGGGATGAGACACGCGGGGAGAGACACACGGGGAGAGACGCGGGGGGAGAGGCACATGGGGAGACACGTGGGGAGAGAGACGCAGAGAGAGACGTGCAGGGAGAGACACACAGAGAGAGACACGCGGGGGGAGAGACACGCGGGATGAGACACGCGGGGAGAGACACATGGGGAGAGACGCGGGGGCACATGGGGAGACACGTGGGGAGAGAGACGAGACGCCAAGAGAGACGCGCGGGGACATGTAAGGAGAGGCACACGGGGAGAGGCACACGGAGAGATGCGTGGACAGAGAAGTAGGGACAAGTGGAGACACGCGGGGACCACGGGGACCAGAGGAGGGTGACAACATGCCGGCCTTGATAGGCGCTGTTTGAGGCTACACGGGGGACCTTTGTCTGTGTAGGAGCGTCTGTGTGCGCTGGAGCGTCAGGCCAACCAGACGCTGCGGGCGGCGGAGGTGGAGAGGCAGAGACTCCAGCGGGAGAGGGGCACGCTCGTGCGCCTCTACGAAAGGGTGAGACATCACCGACATCATCAACAACATCATCATCAACATCACCAACATCATCACCAACATCACCATCAACATCAATGTCAACATCATCACCAACATCATCACCAACATCAACAGCATCACTAACATCATCACCACCATCAACATCAACATCATCACCAACATCAACATCATCACCAACATCAACAGCATCATCAACATCATCACCATCATCACCAATATCATCACCAACATCATCACCAACGTCATCATCACCAATATTGTCACCAACATCATCGCCATTAATATCGTTGTCATCAACAACACCAACATCATCATCAACATCAACGTCATCACCAACATCAACAGCATCATCAACATCATCACCATCATCACCAACATCATCACCAACATCAACCTTTGACTGTGTATGTGTGTCTGTGTGGTGGGGAGCGGTAGTGCAGCAGTTAGCTCGCTGATCTAAAAACCCAGTAGCCCAAGTTCGATTCCCGCTCACGGCCAACACCAGTGACGATTATCTGAACCGGTTCACTGGGTCTCCCCTAGGTCGAATCAGCCTCAAATGAGTACTTAGCACGGTGTGTAAACATCGCCACTGGGGAGACAAAGGCGGCCGGGCTTGGTGCTGGCCACCCAGCCCCTCGTGTGCCACAGTACCGCCCTTCACCAGTGCTGCCGCTCGCTAACAGCACTTGCCCCCACAGTCTGTTAAGGCTACACGGCCGGGGGGGGGATCTTTGTCTTTGTGCCGCCCGTAGGAGAGGGAGGAGCTGTCGCTGGTGGAGGTGGAGCTGGCGGAGATGATGGGGAACGTCGACGTCGGAGCCGCCCTGTCTCCTGCCCTCAGAGAGGTGACCGCAGTGGTGCCCCCGTGTTGACTTTCTCTCCCCCCCCACCCCCCCTACCCCCCCCCTACCCCCCCACGTGCCCCAAACCACCGTTCCGTTAACCGCGCTCTGTCAGATTCGGGGGGCGGCGGGGGTGGAGGACGGAACGAAAAACACCAAAAAAAACGTAGCCGTAAATACAAGGTGCTTCAGAACAATTAACACTTACATGGGACTTGTCGTTTTTAATGGGAAAAGAGCGGCTAATACACTGTGACATGATGACAAATATAATGTTAATGTCTCCCACTTGTTCGCCGTCGTTGTCAACGCACGCCTGGAATCTTCTCCAGGTGGTCTCCAGAGCTCGAAGGCAGCACTTTTCTGGTGGCGTTGTTGCAAATTCTCCGAAGTGTTAACATTTTTTTGAAGCACCCTGTATTCCCCAACCCACCGCTACTTTTCAGAGTCTTAACGGTTCCTGGGCTTTGTAGGGAACAACCACTGGGGGGGGGGGGGGGGGTGGTGCCCTAGAGCCAAGATTGCAGAGAACGGCTGAGATGAGATGATGTGAGGCACCCTGGATCTGTCTGGAGGGGGGGGGGGGGTTAGGGGCGGCTGTTCGACCCCTCTCCCGTGTTTCCGGACGTGCCTGCAAGTCGCGGGGTTGTGTGGTGCGGTGGGTCGTCCCGTTCACCGCCGCATCTCTCGGGAGCAACGCGCAAAGCTGCTCGGCGTTCGTGTTGAAGAGTGATGGGCGCAGCAGCAGCGCCGTTGTTTTTAAAGATGTTGTACTGTGCCCACCACGGAGAACCGTAGCGACACGACCACCGCCGCCACCCTGCGATAGCCGGAGCCAAACTGGGGCCGCACGCTCCCCTCCCAACGCATGGCCTTTTGGGAGAGCCTCGGTACGTCTGCCGAGCTCTAGACGTGCCGATGAAGTTGTTTTATTCTTTTTCTTCCGATTCCGTTCCGATGACGTACACGTACAGGTACGTCATCGGAGCGGATTGTATCGTAGCGGGTTGTATGTCATCGGAGCGGATTGTACGTATGTGTACGTAGATAGAAATAAGAGAAACTGATCAACGTACAAGGTGCATGTTTCGCGTTATAACGCTGCGTTCCGCGTTATATCGGCGCTCGTTCCACGTTATAACAGGGGCCGCATTCCGCATTATAACAGTCCCCCCCCCCCCCCGCGAGAGCTGCTGGTCCTTTCTCTGGCGGTGGCGTGAGCGGGTAATTGCAGGTGCTACACCTTTTCCCTTCTGCCCCCGGTATTTTGAGGACGTGCTGTTGTCACTTTGCCCCCTCACCTCTACCTCTTTGCAACTTTCTCTCCCTGCCCCGTGTGTGTCTCTCTTCCTTTCTCCCTTCCTTCCTTCCTTCCTCCCCGCCCTTCATTTACAGGAACCCCTAACTCTACCCGAACCCTCACTCAACATCATTAACACCCCATCTGACTTCCCCTCCACACTCACACTAACATCATCGTCATCATCGTCGTCATTATCGTCTTCGTCATCATCATCATCTGCTCAAACCGCCCGTAACCTACGCCAGGTATGGTTTGCTGCTAATATGATAATTCACAGTCACAGCTTTTGCCTGTTCAAATGGGTGGAAAATCCGCATTCCTATGGCAGTGGTCAGTTCATCTGTAAGATGACCACTGTTGCTGTCTGAGAAAGTAGTGCCTAGGGTTATGACAAAGTCCGACACCGCTGTAATTAATGAGCATGCCTCCCCTTATCAAGGAGAGTGGACAAATTGTATTTGAATCGTAGTCCTAATTTGGTTGACAAGCTGCTTGCGGACAGCGTTGTCAAGGAAGTTACATCACTTCCTGTGGCATTGCAAGAGTGGCATTACTTACTGTGGCATCGTGGCAGTGACATCACTTCCTGCGGCGCCATTGGGATGGGAATGGCATCACTTCCTGTGTGGCGTCGTAGCTTCTAAATTCGGTCCGAAATAAAGCATGACTTCTGATCGTCCGAAACTTCGTATCTAGGCCACGTTTTCAGATGTTTTCGGATTAAACCAAAAATCGGGAACTCATCCCAACTTCCTGATTAAAATGAACGGTTACCCGCGCCTCAACGCGACCGAATTGCATGAATGAAATAGCTAAACCGCCCCATGCCTTTGACCTTGTAAACATGACTGACGACGTGCATGTGTTTAAATTTGGCATGGAATTATTAACCTTCCACCCCCGCCCCCTACCCCTAATTGTTTGACTAATCTTTATGATTCGGAGTCATGATTCAATACAAAGAACTTTACATATGTTAACAAAAATTGTCTTGTTTGGACCGTCAGTCTCGTTCGGTCTGTCTTCATTCCTAGTCTCTCTTTTACATGAAGTTTTCTGTCTTGTTTGGTACAATTTGGTTAGTAGCCTCATTTGTCTACACTCTGTCTCCTTTGTGCCATCTCACCTGCAGTGTAAATCATTCGTACTCTCCACCTCATTCCTATTGTGCCATACCACTTTGCTTGCGCTAACGATCGATCGCTCACGTGCTCAACCCGGCTCCCATTATTAACCTGACCTTTCCGGCTTTAGCGAGCACGTCGCTAACGTTGGGGGGTGGAGGCGCTTGGTTAACCCCTCCCACGTGCCCTCTCTCTTCAGGAGTACTTCACCCTCAGCCAAATCAATCAGCTGTACGTGGGGACGGAGCCTGAGTCAGGCCACGCCCACCCCACTCAAGCCCCTCCCACTCATTCTTCGGCCGTCATGGAAACCGCCCGCTCTGCTGTCAATCTCTCCCAGGCTTCCCCTCCTGACATCCCTCTCGCTGAAGAGGTTTGCCCTCTGCTCCCTTTCTTTGTGTGTACAAGACACTCATACGCATCCATCTAGCGATCAATGTTTGAAAAGCATGAAAAGCAGGAAACAAACTAAAGAGTGAAGGTCAGTTTAAAGAGATGCGATTTCAAAGCAGACTTAAATATATCTACCGACTGCGACTCCCTGATTTCAAGTGGCACGGCGTTCCATAGCTTGGGTGCCACGCTAACAAAAGCACGATCGCCAAAAGGGCACAACCTAGATCTGGGAGTGCTGAGCAGTTGGAGATCGGTAGTTTATATAGTTTAAACACACAATTTAATAAATACACGATATAAGAACATATTGGGGCAGGCCATATTAACTAGAGCAGTTGCTTTGACACCTCTTTCGTGTTTTTCAATAATTTCCTGCTTAATTTTAACACTACAGGGACCCCTCTAATTACAAACATTCGACTTACAAACTTTCAGCCATACGAACGAAGCTGTCCGTATGTCCAGTTGCCTGTTCCGACCGAGAGTCGTAAATTCAACCGCTGTGCAATAGATCGTGGCGGTGGCATCTACATCTACAGGGAGATTATACAACTTTTAAAGCCATTCCCCATTTAGTGTACATGCCGTAGAAAGTGTTTGAAATCATCAGCAGTAAAGTTGGACTTTACTGCTGATGATCGACTTACTATGATGGCGACGCACTCTAAAAAATTATGCTATTTGATCTTCATATTCCTTGAAGGCCCCGTTTAGAAACGTGCGTTTAGATTATTTGGCTGCGATAAATTTACACATGATAAGCAACTTTTTTTGAGCCATAATTTGTGGTCAGGTCACTTCTGAAAAATACATAGCAGCTTAGTGGGCCCTGACCTGGTAACAAATAAAATAGTTTATCATTTTAGTTTGGTCGATGTATTGTGCATTCTCCAACTATTATTCACTCAAACTCTGAAACGTCTTCTATGCATTCCCCTTTGGGGCCTGTGCTCTTCACGAATGCGTAGAGTTTGTGGGAGGCCACAAGTATTTCCTAGGCCCCCTGCCCTGTTTGAGTCACTTCTCTGGGCTCAGATGTCTAGGCAAGAGGGGAGGGCGGGTAAAGGCAGACTTTTCGAGGCCTAGTTATTCAACCTTAGCATTACAATGATTCCTCTCGTTTATGAAGATAAGCCTCACTGAGTCTCATGCGGTGGGGGGCAAAGTGTGGGTGCTCTTTCCTCTTAAAAAAAAAACATCTGCCCCGCGTGGAAGAGTAGTTCGTGGCGTGAGCGAATAATAATCATAATAATTGCAGGGCAGCACCTTTAGCGTTCTCACTGCCAGAACGCGACTTTATCTTCCGCGCCTAAACTCTCCGTGAATGCTGTGCTTCTTTATTCTGCCTGCTTACGTGTTGTTTATTCTGCCTGCTTACGTGTTCTTCTCTTGTTTCCTCTCCTTTTGTGTCCCTTATGCACCCACGACAAAACAACACTGAGCACGGCACTTTGCTTGCCAAATCCCTGTGAACGCACACGCTGCACCACGCACGCTGCACCACATACACATTGTATCTACACATACACACCGCGCTATACACACACTCACACCATTCAAACATAACCTATACACATTCACTATACACACACTGCACTACACACCCCACACGATACACACACACCCTATACACACGCACACATGACACACCACACACCCCATCCCACACACCCCCCCACACACACACCCCACGACACACACACCCCCACACCCTCACACACACACACACCCCACGACACACACCCACACGCCACACACCCCTCAAACACCCACACACAGCCACGTGACTGTGCGCTGGCCCTGTGCCCCCCGCTGGGCTCCGAGCGGTGGTACAGCGATTGCGTCGCTGGGTTTGGACCCCCCAGAACCATCCCCCCGCCGCCCCCGCTCCCCGCTAAGCAGCGTGGGGGATCGAGGGGGGCGGCTGATCAGGTGACTCAATTCGGGGGGGGGGGGCGGGGGAGGGCTGAGGAGGGGTGGGGGGGGCAGGGCAAGGGAGAGCATCAGTCTCGTCCGGAGGCCACATTGGCGGTCTGAACCAGAAGGTCGGCTCAGTCCAACATCCCTCCCAGGGGGTCAACTTAGTCTATCATCCTTCAATGGGCCTTACCTGGTTGCCCGACTCCTCGGCTCTCAGCTGTAAATTCAAAGTGGCCCATCGCACTTATTGGCTGCCCCTGACATCGGCTCGGTTCAGCCACGTACGGACATTCCGAACTGAGCGTCAATTCAGCATCAGGCCACAAAAAGGGAAGACTTTAGTCTCATCCAAGGTGTCGTTTGCGACCGGGCAGTCAGGCCCACCTATCACGGAGGTACTCGAGCGAAAGAGTAAATGCTTATTATTAAATATTTCCCGTTCCGATGATACATACGTGTGCGTACACGTACATCATCACTTTCTCTTGTGTGTGTATGGATACACTGTATGTATGTATACATGTGTAATGGGTTCAACTGAGTCGCAGACGTCAACTTTGGAGGCAACACATTTATTAAGTTCCAACACACGGGATAACTTCCCCTTAACATAATAACAACCTAAGGTGGTGACCACCAGGCTAACTACACTAGTCACAACGTAACCACTACTACGGACCGGGACCAACGATTTCGGCCCAGGTCTATGTGTAGGAGACTCGTAGATGAAGGTTTCTTCCAGGATGAACAACAACCCTGGTCCCTCTCGGGACCTAGCTTCTCTTCTCTGCGGCATGGCCGGTCCCCGCCCTTGGCCACGCCCACCTTCCAGAATCCTCGGGAAGGATCTGGGTCCCAATCACATGACCCCCCCTAGCCCCCTCTGTCAACTTAACCAGTCACGTGTCTTCCCGGGTCAACCAGAGTGCCATGGCCTCACGCAACTTTATCCTTCGGTCGGCACCCACACACCCTGTCCTGAAGGGTCGGCACTGCACTTAAGGCATGGTGCCATCCAGCACAGTTATTCACTGCATGCCCTGCCCCTCTAGGGCCGGTACTGCACCCACAGCATGGTGACATCCAGCGATGTCACTACACATGTGTACAATCCGCTCCGATGACGTACGTGTACATGATCGGAACGGAATCGGAATAAAAACTACAATAAAATAACTTCATCGGCACGTCTTCAGGTCGGTAGATGTACCGACGTTCCCCCACAAGGCCATGCGGCGGGAGGGGAGGAGTGCGGCCCCAGTTTGTCGCCGGCTATCGTAGAGTGGCGGCGGTGGTCGTGTCGCTATGGTTCTGCGCGGTGAGTACAGTACAACGTCTTTAAAAAACAACAGCGCGACTAGGTTGAACCTGCTCGCACGTTCCGTGAGAGATTCGGTGGTAAACGGGACGACCCAACCACCACCCTGCAACTTCCAGACGTCTTGGAACACGAGTCTCCGGCTAATCGGTTCGGTTTAGCTTGATGTTTTCTTGTTCACGGCTTTTGCTCAACCGAGCCAGCCCAACACCGTGCTTAACTTGAGCCGGTAATGAGCCCTGGGTGTCAGAATCAGAATCTGGAGGAGGAATCCGATGAGCTATGAAGCTCTTTTGGCACAGATGTCCAGTAAGGGGCACCGGAGTGTGAACATTGCCACAACGAACACGACGCAACAACGCCATGGAGCCCAGCCGTCGCTAGGACAATGGTGACTAGGCTGTGAGTGGTGGCAGTCGAGCGGAGTACAGCCTGTTCTCCTCTAATGTGGCGGTGGTAGTCGTTAAGTTCCTATGGAACAATCGCGTCATGTGGAACAATCGCGTCATAATGAATAATATTGAGGTAAAGCACGGTCCGCGATAACGCGTGAGATCCGTAACGCAGGCTGAGCAAGGACCAAGGCGTGCGTGGGTAGCGTCTAGGAGCATCCAGCAGCATCGCAATGCCTCGTGTGATGATGATGCTAGGCCGAGGCAGCCGTTAAAACCGCTTATTACTACTCACGCGACGTAGTTCCTTTCGCTAGATCACGTTATATATCCAATTGGCATCCGCGTTATGAAAAAAATTGTGCCTCCTAATGCAACATTCGTCGCGTTACATCCCAATTCACGTTGTAAAAACAACGCGCGGCGTTATGCAGGAGAACAGACTGCATACATGCTGATGTGGTGTCTACGTTGTGGAGTCGACGTTGACTTGTCGCATGCAGCGTCTTTGTCGCTGACTTCGCGTCCGGAGTTTCAACCACGGCCTGCCCAGCTCTCACCATGCACCATCTCTTCTCCCTTCCCAGAATGCACCCCCGAACGCATGGCTTTCACGACTTCCTGTCGAGTACTGGGAAGTGGGGAAATTGTGCCTCGGGAGAGGCTTTGAGTTTGGTGTACGACACTGGCATGAAGGGCATTCTCCAATGTTTTTTCCATCTTCCTGGCTGTCTATTGCTTGGGTCGGGCTGCCTCGCAAAGGATAAACGAACGATAATATCGTCTCGGTTTCAAGGCCTCCTTCACGCGAATGGCTATTGAGGCCTTGTTCGGCAGCCACAGTCTGCAAAGCCTTACGGTTGCCTGTGCGCATGATTTTTTGTTCTGCACCGCGCTTTTATTTGTTTTTGAGTGTTTTTTTGTTCAAGTCTAAACGTTAAAACGGTCAGACGCACACGGCGGCGCGTGCGCGCGTCGTTCTGCAAGGCGTCCGACATTTTGCGCCACGCGTGCCGGAGGAGCCTCTTCAGGAGCTGAAGAGTTTCGTTTTCGTCAGCTTCCTGAAGCAGCTTCCGGCACGTGGGGAGCGGAACGTCAGACATCGCGCCGAACGGCACGGGGCGTAACCACAAAACCGCATTCGGAGGGCCGCACTGCATCATCACGTGGCGCTTTCAGATGCGCTTCTGTCGCCGTCTGGAACGTTCTTCCTTCCAGTGTTAGGAAGCCACATGGAGCTATGGCACTTGTAAATCATCATCTAGACAAACGAATTGGCCCCCGCACCTCCTCTTAGCTACGGTTGGCTACGTACGGTGGTGCAAAATAAGTTCAACGTACGTCCGTGAAACCCTCAAAGGCTCACGCGCGTAGAAATTCGTGACGTCGGCCAATGCAAGAACCTCTCCCCTCCTTTGCTTGCACCCGGCGCTTTCAAATTAAAACCCTCCGCGAGAACTCGATTCTTAAATGGAACGATCGCTCTGCAGTTGCAACGGGTCCCCAAATCTGCTCTGGAGATTATTCAGCTTTTAAAAAATATAAAAAGTTGAAAGTATAGAAAACATATCAAATAAAAAGTCTAAACCTTTTGCAGCAGGGAACAGGGAGACATCGTTCCCATCATGCCTTGCGTGCACGCCATTTAACCCCCCCCCCCCCCCCCCCCCCACTGCAACGTACAGGATGCTTGCCAGCCTTGTCTAGACCACCACCAACTCTCGAAAAAATGCAACCGCATTGTGGTTTAGGGGGGCCCCCATCATCTCAAAACGATCTGCGACCGTTGCCTTCCCATTCCCCCCCCCACCCCCTCCGCCGCCGTATAAGGCTTTTTACGAGCACGCCGCATGGCTAATGTACAAGCAAGCACGGCTCACGGCCGCTTATCCCGCCTCTCCTATCTCGCGCTTTGCCGGGCCTTCGCGCCGGCGGCCGGAGGGGGACGTTAAACGGAATATTTATTTGTAACTCTTCGAATAAATTCCGCGGTTGCCAACTCCACGTCCGCTTGGTGTTTCACCGACCAGCAGCTGGATGTGAGCGGGGAATCAGCGCTCCGGCTAAAAGGGAAAAAATCCCGGCGCGCTGCCCCCAGTTCCGCGCCCTGCACCCCCTACAGCAGCGCCACACTCGGCCGCAACGTCAGCCTCAAGGTTCGACTCCTGTTCCCTACTCCCCCCCCCCCCCCCGGGTCTTCCCAACTGGGGGATCAAAAGCCTTTTCATGCGTCGGCTATCTCCAACCGCTGTCCTGCCCGTCTGACGTGGCCAGGGGTGGAGCGTGCTCACCTCTCGTTGCAGATGTTCGTGGGCGTCCCGATAGCTAGGCAATGTTAACTACCTCGCCTGGTGTACGGGAGGTCGTGGGTTCGATCCAGACCCTGACGCCTGCTGCTGTATATTTGTAGTTTGCGTCTCTCGCTCTCTCATCATCATCACGGTGGCAAGGAGTTGTTAACTACCTTGCCTGGTTTTCAGGAGGTCGTGGATTCGAGCCCGACTCTGACGCCTACTGTATATTTGTAGTTTGCGTCTCTCTTTCTCCCCGTGGTTGGGTGGATTTTTCTCCGGGTCCTCCCACCACACAATTTACAATTCGAGTAGCCGTGACGTTTCGCCGGTAATCACAACAGCAACAACAACCAACCTCATCAGGCGACAGCCGGAATTGTGGACACATCCTCCTGTTTCGGTCTTAAATAGAGTGGCGTAAATGTGATGTCGTCACCTGTGAGCCTATCAGATCATGCGTGAACTTCTCTTTCCAAAGTGCCCGATTGTGAGCCGGTGACCGTAAGAGGCGGCAGTACAGCAAGTAGGCTGCTGAGTTGTCTGCATAGTGGTTCAGCTTTGCATCATGCCAGTGTCGTCATGCCAAATTTGCCCTGTGGGGGATGGGAGGGGGGACTTAGAACCCAGCACTGCTGAGATCCTGGGTTCAACCCCTGGGTGTGGGTGTGTATCTCTCTCTCTCAGGAGGTTCATAATGGCTGTGTCAGGGACATGCTGGGCCAGTACCGCTGATATTCTGGGCGTCTCTTGGTCCATGGAATTTTAATGACCTGGCCAGAGACACTTAGCCAGCATCAGTGAGAAACCTGGATTTAAACCCAGGGGCCAGAGTACAGAATGAGTAACAACATCGTTGCAGTGTCGTAAGATCAGTTTTATATAAGATAAGGCAGTTACGGTTGAGCTATGAGAAATCTCACGATTGGGCAGGAAAAATTGTAAGTGGATTTCAAGCGCTAATAATAATAAAATGGCAATATTATTAATTATGATATCAATGTTAACAAACTTTAATAGTATCATATTACCTCAGCCAAAGCACATGGAGTCGTGAAATAATGCCAGCTATGTTGCCTGGGAGACGCCATGTCGGCCATGTTGCCTGGGGGGTTATTTTCCGGCGCAGCTGATTGGCTGGTGCAGTGGCAGTGATGATGCAATCCCTAGCAACAACTGCTCGGAGAGCGAGAATGATGGTCTCACTATGACTCTCGTATGTACTTCGACTTACAATCCGTTTTCTCCGACGACATTTGTGATTTTACTGCAATCGGACTTGGGACAAATCTTAAAAGAAGTTTCTGTACTCTGGAACCGAGAGGTGTCTGCTTTCAGGGTTAGAGGATTGAGATGGCTGAAACAGTATTTTTTAAAGAACTAGTGAAGGCTTTCCTGTGTAAAACATGAAGTAAATAGTTATTCACAATAATTAATCTGTGCTTCATAACACAACTAACGCTCCCCCATTAATAAAAAAAAATCATATGAGCAGATTGGCTCGGTTGGCTACGTACTGTGCGGAAGAAGATCAGTGTACATACGTAACATGACAACAAGGTTTTTTAAATGTTTTTAGAATTCTTCGTATATAATCTTCACATCAGACTTATTACCTTGCTATTTGGTTGTATCTGCAAATCCCAAACACTCTGCTCATTATCTTAATTGCTTTTTTTGTGGACATTTCTGTTGAACAGTCCTCTGTGTTGGCCCAGCTGGGCACCAACAGCCTGCCCCGTAACCTGAAGGCCACCCTGCAGGAGATAGAGAACAAGCGGCAGCAGACCTTCCAGGAAAAAGGTAAGGCTTTTCTGGGGTGCTAGGCCGAGTGGCAGTTGTCCCTGAACATAAAAAAACAGAGTGTATTTTACACATTCCTTCAGCCACAGCATGGCATATCTTCTGGGAGTGCATAATTACAACAACATTGCTTCAACACAAACTACAAACTACTCACTTACCAGGTAAGGTCCCACTGGGCCATGTAGCTCTTTTTCAGAAGCGAACTGGCTATATTTTGACTTAAAACTTTCGTGACTGCAGGAATTCATATTTTTTTGGTTCTTTCGGTAAAGTCACGTAGATAGAACAAAAACCACGACGTTTCGATCGCAACACAAGCGGTCGTGACCGCAACACACCGCTTGTGTTGCGATCGAAATGTAGTGTGTTTTTGTTCTATCTACGTGACTTTACCGAAAGAACCAAAGAATACGACCTGGATATCACAAATTATAGCTCAACGAAGTGGGCTTATCATCATCATTGTAAATATGGAGGAAGAAAACCGGAGGACCCGGAGATTAAATCCACGCGACCACAGGGAGAGAGAGACGCAAACTCCAAATATACAGCAGCAGGCATCGTCAGGTTCCGCGATCGAACCCACGACCTCCTGTAGACCAGGCGAGGTAGTTCACACCTCGCCACCGTGGGGCCCCCTCCCTCCCACCCCCCACAGGGCACCAGGTGATAGAAGAGCAGCGGCGTCGCCTGGCCGACCTGAGGCTACGGGCCGCGGCCGAGGCCCAGACGCAGTGGGCAGCCCTCCATGCGCTGCCCTCGTCCCCCACCTCGTCGTCGTCCAGGGGATGCGCCGAGGAGGAGGAGGTGGACCAGGAGGAGGCGGCGGCCGCCGCGATGGTGGTGGAAGAGCTTCTGGGGAACGGTGGTGGCGGAGCGGGGGGAAGAGTGGGCGGCGGTGGAGGGGCCTACGACACGCTGAGCCTGGAGAGCTCCGACAGCATGGACACCAGCGTCTCCAACGCCAACTCGCAGTGCTCGCCCGATGCCATGTCCAGGTGTGGTGCACCTAGCCTGGCACGGCCGGCCACTGGCTCGTGTGTCGGTGGCGCCGCGGATAGTTCTGGAAGCCGCCAGAGGACCCGAGTTCGATTCCCGCTCACGGCCAACCCCGCTGACGAGCGTCTGAACCGGTTCTGAGCCTCCCCTAGGTCGACTCGGCCTCAAATGAGTACCCAGTGCAGTGTGTAGTAAACGTCGCCACCTGGGGAGACAAAGGCGGCCGGGCGTGGTGCCGGCCACCCACCCCCCCCCCCCTCGTCTGTAACAGTGCCGGCCTTCGTAGGTGCTGCTCGCGACTCTCTGACAGCACTTGCCCCAGCAGTTTGTTGAGGGCTACATGGGGGATCTTTGTCTTTGTACCCCGTACAGCAGGAGAATCGTCGTCATTGTCTAAACAATCGAATAACCCCGCAACCGAACGCAACCCGACGACACAATCGACATCAGGGCGGTTCTCCGCGTGCCACGACCGGTCCAGCGGCTTGGTGAAGACGATCGACGGCGTTGACTCTGAACGCCGCACAGACGCTCGGTCGCTCCTCGCGTTTGAAGCTGGCGGTGGTGGAGGTAGCGGTGGTGGTGGTGGCGGTGGTGGTGGTGGTGGTGGCGGTGGAGGTGGTGGCGGTGGTGGTGGTGGAGGTGGTGGTGATGATGGAGGTGGTGGCAGTGGTGGTGATGATGGAGGTGGTGCCGGCGGTGGTGGTGGAGGTGGTGGTGATGATGGAAGTGGCGGCGGTGGTGGTGATGATGGAGTGGTGCTGGCGGTGGTGGTGGCAGCGGTGGAGGTGGTGGTGCTGCTGGTGGGAGTGGTGGCGGTGGTGGGAGTGGTGGTGGCAATGGTGGATGCATTGTATCTACGGGGTGTAACCATCACCACTGAGGAGACAAACGCAGCCGGGCGTGGTGCTGGCCACCCACCCCCTCGTGTTCCACCGTGCCGGCATTCATCTGTGCTGCTTGCGAACAGTCTGCTGAGGCTGCACCGGGGGGGGGGTTTCTGTGTCTGTGTGCGTCAGTGCGAGCGGCATGGACACGGTGCGTCTGGAGGAGATGGAGCGCATGTTGAGGGATGCACAGGTGGAGAAGGCGAGGCTCTTGGAGATGAAGGTGAATTTAAAGTCACTCGGAGAGTGACTTTGTCTTTGTATGTATGCTGAACTCAACCGCGCTAATTAGTTGGCTACGTACGGCTATATGTATGCGTGCGTGCACGTGTGGTGTACGTGTGTTTGTGGTGTACGTGTGTGTGGTGTACGTGTGTCTGTGTGTGTGATGTACGTGTGTGTGGTGTATGTGGTGTGTGTGGTGTGGTGTGTGTGTTATGAGAACCAAAACATATATACGGTTTGGCCACAAAAGTTACAAAGTCACTCATCCACTCGCTTACTCACCCACTCACTCACTCACCCACTCACTCAATCATTCACTCACCCACTCATTCACTCACTCATTCACCCACTCACTCATCCACTCACTCACCTACTCACCCATTCACTCACCCACTCACCCATCCACTCAGCTATCCACTCACTCATCCACTCACTCACCCACTTACCCATTCACTCACCCACTCACCCATTCACTCACCCATTCACTCACTCACCCACCCACCCATCCACTCACTCACTCACCCACCCACCAACCCTCTCACCCACTCACCGAACCACTCATTCACCCACTCACTCACCCACCCACTCACCCACCCACCCACTCACCCACTCACCCACCCACCCATCCACTCACCCACCCTCTCACCCACCCACCACCCACCGCCGACGCTGATGCCGCCGCTGCTGCCCCCCCCCCCGCCCCGAGCAGGAGCGCGAGGCGGAGGAGCGCCGGCGGGCGCTGGATCTCGAGCGGCGGCGCCGCGAGCGAGTGGAGGCGCAGCTCCGGGACGAGACGGAGCGGCAGCGGCGCCTCCTCGCTGGCGCGGGGGGCGGGGGGGGGCCGCCCCCCCGGGGTGGGGGGGACGCGGGGGGGGCTCCGTCGTGGGGGGGAGGGGGGGGCCCGGGCGGGGGGTCGTCGCGGGGTGCTGACGTGAGGCTCAGGGACGCGCACGCCGTGCAGCAGGTGAGTGAGTGGAGCTGTGGGGGGGGGGGGGGTGCGGGGGGTGTAACAGGAGGCACGCACAAGAGGAGATGCAGGGAGACAGGCAGACACACAAGAGGAGAGGCGGGGGGAGATGCAGGGAGACGCGGCGACGCGCGGGAGGAGAGACTGAGAGATGTGCGGGGATCCCCGCGTGGATCCTGAACAGACCCACCAGACTCGTACATAGAGCCACAGACTCGCACAGAGACCCACAGACTCGCACAGAGACCCACAGACTCGCACAGAGACCCACAGACTCGCACAGAGAGCCACAGACTCGCACAGAGAGCCACAGACTCGCATAGAGACCCACAGACTCGCAGAGACCCACAGACTCGCACAGAAACCCACAGACTCGCACAAAAACCCACAGACTCGCACAGAGACCCACAGACTTGCACAGAGATCCACAGACTGGCATAGAGACCCACAGACTCGCACAGAGACCCATAGACTTTCATAGACCCATAGACTTGCATGGATAGACAAACTACATTCTTTACAACTGCTTGTTGTTGTTGTAAACGTACGGTGCGAAATAAGTTAATCATGCACTACAGACATACACACACACATATATACATACATAGACACATACACACATACGTAAACAATCAACATACACACGTGGCCTCGGTGCTACGAGAATGGGGTGTCAGTACCAAACTGTGCTACTAAGCTACCGCACCTCCTTCGGCGATAATCGCAAGAAGTTGCTGCTGCTGCTGATGCTGATGCTGCTGCTGATGCTGCTGCTGATGCTGCTGCTGATGCTGCTGATGCTGCTGCTGCTGTTGCTGATGCTGCTGATGCTGCTGCTGATGCTGCTGCTGATGCTGCTGCTGCTGTTGCTGATGCTGCTGATGCTGCTGCTGATGCTGCTGCTGCTGGAGCTATGCGGCTGTAAGAGTTTGCCCGACAACAACGAGTCCCTCCAGCACACTCAGCCCGTGCCCCGACTGGACACCGGTGACAAAAGAGCTTCACAGGCCATCGGGTTTCTCCTGCTGCTGCTGCAGTAGTCTAAATAACCATTGTGACCCCCCCCCCCCCCCCCCCATCGTGCTCCCCCCAACTCCTTCCTTCCCCCCACCCCCCACCCCCTCCTCCCCTACCACCCCTCACTCCCTCCCTCCCCACCACCTCCCTCCCCCCCACCTTCCTCCCCAACCCCTCTCCCCCCCCTCCATTCCCCCCAACCCCTTCCTCTCTCCCCCCTACCACCCACCTCCCTCCCTCCCCCCACCCCTCCCTCCCCCCACCTCCTTCCCTCCCCCCACCCCTCCCTCCCCCCACCTCCTTCCCTCCCCCAACCATCCCCATCCCTCCCCCCACCATCCCCCCTATCGTGCTCCCTCCCCCCACCCCCTCCCTCCCTGCTGCACCCCCTCCTCCCCTACCCGCCCCACTCCCTCCCCACCACCTCCATCCCCTCCACCTTCCTTCCCAACCCCTCTGCCCCCACCCTCTCATCCCCACCTCCCCCACCCTCCTCCCACCCTCCGTACCCCCTACCACACTCCCTGCCCCCACCCCCCTCCCTCCCCGCACCCCACTCCCTCACCCCCGCACCCCCTCCCGCACCCCCCACTCCCCCCACCCTCTCCCCCCACCCCCTCCCTTTCCGCACCCTACTCCCCCACCCCCTCCCCCCACCCCCTGCCCCCACCCCCCTTCCTCCCTCCCCACACCCCACTCCCCCCACCCCTACCCACCCCCACCCCTCCCCCCGTCTCTCCGCGAGCAGTCCCGCCCGCTGACTCGCTACCTGCCGGTGCGCAAGGAGGACTTTGACCTGCGTGGCCACGTGGAGGCGGCGGGCCACGGCGTGGAGACGTGCCGCCACGTGGCGCTCACCGCCAAGACCTGCCGCGGCCTCCTCACCAAGATGGGCGGCAAGATCAAGACGTGGCGCAAGCGCTGGTTCGTCTTCGACCGCAACAAGCGCACGCTGGCCTACTACGCCGGTGGGTCGGCGCGCACGCCGGCGACGCCGCCGGCAAACGTTGTCGTCGTTTAACGACGTTATCACCATCGTCGTAATGGTTGTCGTCGTCGTCATCATCGTTATCACCGTTGTGGTTGTTGTTGTTGTCGTCGTCGTTATCACCGTTGTCGTTGTGGTTGTTGTTGTCGTCGTTGTTATCGTCGTGATCACCGTTGTCGTTATGGTTGTTGTCATCGTTGTTGTCATCGTTATCACCATTGTTGTTGTGGTTGTTGTCATCGTGATCACCATTGTGGTTGTTGTCGTCGTCGTTATCACCATTGTCGTTATGGTTGTTGTCGTTGTTGTCATTGTTTTTGTTATTGTCGTCGTTATCGTTCTTGTTGTCGTTGTTATTGTCATTGTCATCACCTTTGTTGTTGTTGTTATCATCGTCGTCGTTAACAAAATCTTCGTCGTTATCGTCGCCATTGACAAAGGCGGTGGCTCCTCCCACACCACCTCCTCGTGCGCCGTGCCGCCCTCCATCGGTGATGCTGCTCGCTAACCGCTAACAGCACTTGCCCCAACAGTCGGCTACAGGCTACACGGGGGATCTTTATCTCTCTCATTGTGCCACCTCTGTCCCCTCTGTGCGCCCGTGTACACGCAGACAAACACGAAGCCAAGCTGAAGGGAGTCATTTACTTCCAGGCCATCCAGGAGGTTTACTACGATCACCTGAAAAACGCCAACAAGGTGATGCAGAGCCACTCGGCTCACCCACTCACCTGGAACACAGCGCCACTCACCACCTCCTCACCCTCGCCCGACTCCCTCCTCCGAGGACGGTGCTCACTGCCGGGCGTTGTGTCTCTGTGGTAGCCTTCGCCGTCGTCATCAACATCATCATCATCATCGACATCATCGTCGTCAACAACATCACCATCACTCGTCATCATCGTCATCTTCGTCATCGTCGTCATTGTCATCATCGTCATTGTTGTCATCATCGTCGTCGTCGTCATCATCGTCGTCAGCATCGTCATCATCGTCATCATCATCATCATTGTCATCATCATCATTCTCGTCATCGCCATCATCATCGTCCCCACTACACATTTGCAGCAGCAGCAGCAGCATTTAAACCTGCACTGCAGAATTAAACGATCTGCTCCTACTGTTACCTCTGAGATCCACTCAAGTGATGCTCCGGTCCACTCAGAACAGAACCCGCGGAAGTGGCTGTCACAGAGCTACCGCTGAGATCCCTTCCCCTTCTTCAAGCGACCCAGTAGAGGGCAGCACCCTCCCGCCTCGCCCTGCCGCACGAGCGAGATTCTTCGCTCTCGAGTCGAACTGATGTCTTCGTTCTAGATTTGAAGCTTTCCTGACTGCAAGGATTCATACTCTTAGGTTTTTTCGGTAAAGTCACGTAGGGAAAAAATAAAATTAAAATTAATAAAATAATAGAAATAAAATAATAAATCACGACGTTTCGGAGACAACACAAGTCTCCGTCATCAGGTGGGACCGTCACAGCACGATTTACTGTATCAATGATGACTTGTGTTGCCTCCGAAACGTCGTGATTTATTATTTTATCTTATTTCTATTATTACTTTCATTAATTTTATTTTTTACCTACGTGACTTTACCGAAAAAACCTAAGAGGATGATGTCTTCATCACAGCTTGAACATCGTCACGTCAAGTACAGAGTTTCGGGGGGCTCAAGCGCGACCTAACCCAAAAACACCTTTATTATTAATCATATTCGTTGCAAAAGCGCTGCTACGTGTTTAAACTGATCACCATTGTTGTTGTCTTTCCTTTCAGCCATGGGGGATATTGAGATTTGCCAAAATCACAGTATGTAAACGCTTGGACGTTGGCTTCTTCGTGTTCCCCGAGTGGCAACGCCCGTGTTTGTGGTTTTTTTCTCCCCCCGGGAATGCACTCCTACTAACCCGACCCCGAAGCTTTGCGGGCGGCTGCCGACTTTGCTTCGCTGTGGAACGTCCTCGCACCTGGTCGCTCCCCCCACAGACACAAATATTCCCCATACAGCTCGAACAAACCGTTTGGGGGCAAGTGCCTTTAGCGAGTAGCGGCGCCTACGAAGGCCAGCGCGGCACACGAGGGGGTGGGTGGTCAACACCGCGCTCGGCTGGCCGCCTTTGTCTCCCCAGTGGCGATGTTCACACACCGCACCAGGCGCTCATTTGAGACGTAGGGGAGGCCGGTTCAGATGATCATCACTGGCGTTGGCCGTGAGCGGGAATCGAACCCGGGTCTCTGCCAGGTTCATAGCCACACAGCCACACACACACACACAGCCACACACACACAGCCACACACACAGCCACACACACACAGCCACACACACACAGCCACACACACACAGCCACACACACACAGCCACACACACACAGCCACACACACACAGCCACACACACAGCCACACACACAGCCACACACACACAGCCACACACACAGCCACACACACACACAGCCACACACACACAGCCACACACACACAGCCACACACACACAGCCACACACACAGCCACACACACAGCCACACACACAGCCACACACACACAGCCACACACACACAGCCACACACACAGCCACACACACACACATTGTACCCTATTTACTCCGGCGGTAGCAGCAGCGGCAGCGGCTTCTGGCTGGCCGTCGAACAAAGGCGGCGGTCACCGCACCAGGCGCGCTTCTTGCGGCCGTCTGGAACGCTCTTTATTCCGATATTAGGAAGCCATTGGAGCGCTGCTGCACCTTTAAATCATCACATAGATTGACAAACTAATTTCTTTAGAGATGTGCTCTTGGTGTTCACGTCTGTTGTCCTTCCCACGCACCTACGATTAGCGCGGTTGGCTACGTACGGTGCGAAAGAAAGTTCAACGCACAGTACATACATTGTAAATAAAAAGTGTTTGCATTGTCTCCTATAAATCCGGAGAATGTTGTCTTCCGGAAGACGCTGTCAATTTGGCGACAGGAGCGGTGGTGCAGTGGTGTACGCTTGTGGCCTCACTGCACTTAGAAGGACCTGGGTTCGACTCCTGACTCGGGGATTTCCCGTGGGTTCACTGGTCAAATCCCAAGGCTCAAAAGCACAATCATACATGTCAAAACCGGTGTTTATGCAAATCACTCAATTGGTATCAGACGCAGCAGCAGTAGACTCGAGTGAGGCTTTCCTGGCCAAATCGAGCGTAGAAATAAAACAAAGAATGATAATCGTTTTAAATCATCGCTTTCAACAGTCTTCCGCAAGATGGTTCGGCACGCTACCGATCACGTGGCGCTTATATATAGATTTTTTTTGGCAGCATCTTCTCCGTGTTTCATCAACGCCTGTGTTTCGCACCCCCCCCCCCCCTTTGTGTTGTTTGCGTCGTGTGTGCATGCCTGCAGCAGTTGGTGCGTGTTGATTTGCGAAAATTAGCGACGAGAGTATTCGTCAGAGGCACGTTTGTTGTCGTGTTTATTTGTTTTTTAACGAGCGGGCGGCATTCACCCGACGTGGCGGCAATTCTGCGACTCACGCCCGCCGTGACGCGGATCATGGCGCACAGTGGCTAGGAGATGTTAACTACCTCGCCTGGTATACAGGAGGTCGTGGGTTCGATCCCAACCCTGACGCCTGCTGCTGTATATTTGGAGTTTGCAGTGTGTCTCTCTCTCATCATCATCATGGTGACTATGAGATGTTAACTACCTCGCCTGGTATACAGGAGGTCGTGGGTTCGATCCCAACCCTGACGCCTGCTGCTGCTGTATATTTGGAGTTTGCAGTGTGTCTCTCTCTCATCATCATCATGGTGACTATGAGATGTTTACTACCTCGCCTGGTATACAGGAGGTCGTGGGTTCGATCCCAACCCTGACGCCTGCTGCTGTATATTTGGAGTTTGCAGTGTGTCTCTCTCTCATCATCATCATGGTGACTATGAGATGTTAACTACCTCGCCTGGTATACAGGAGGTCGTGGGTTCGATCCCAACCCTGACGCCTGCTGCTGTATATTTGGAGTTTGCAGTGTGTCTCTCTCTCATCATCATCATGGTGACTATGAGATGTTAACTACCTCGCCTGGTATACAGGAGGTCGTGGGTTCGATCCCAACCCTGACGCCTGCTGCTGTATATTTGGAGTTTGCAGTGTGTCTCTCTCTCATCATCATCATGGTGACTATGAGATGTTAACTACCTCGCCTGGTATACAGGAGGTCGTGGGTTCGATCCCAACCCTGACGCCTGCTGCTGTATATTTGGAGTTTGCAGTGTGTCTCTCTCTCATCATCATCATGGTGACTATGAGATGTTAACTACCTCGCCTGGTATACAGGAGGTCGTGGGTTCGATCCCAACCCTGACGCCTGCTGCTGTATATTTGGAGTTTGCAGTGTGTCTCTCTCTCATCATCATCATGGTGACTATGAGATGTTAACTACCTCGCCTGGTATACAGGAGGTCGTGGGTTCGATCCCAACCCTGACGCCTGCTGCTGTATATTTGGAGTTTGCGGTGTGTCTCTCTCTCTCTCATCATCACGGTGGCTATGAGATTTGAACTACCTCACCTGGTATACAGGAGGTCGTGGGTTCGATGCTGACCCTGACGCCTGCTGCTGTATATTTGGAGTTTGCAGTGTGTCTCTCTCTCATCATCATCATGGTGACTATGAGATGTTAACTACCTCGCCTGGTATACAGGAGGTCGTGGGTTCGATCCCAACCCTGACGCCTGCTGCTGTATATTTGGAGTTTGCAGTGTGTCTCTCTCTCATCATCATCATGGTGACTATGAGATGTTAACTACCTCGCCTGGTATACAGGAGGTCGTGGGTTCGATCCCAACCCTGACGCCTGCTGTTGTATATTTGGAGTTTGCGGTGTGTCTCTCTCTCTCTCATCATCACGGTGGCTATGAGATTTTAACTACCTCACCTGGTATACAGGAGGTCGTGGGTTCGATGCTGACCCTGACGCCTGCTGTATATTTGGAGTTTGCGTCTCTCTCTCTCATCATCATGGTGGCTAGGATGTTAACTCCCTCGCCTGGTATACAGGAGGTCGTGGGTTCGATCCCAACCCAGACGCCTGCTGTATATTTGGAGTTTGCATGTCTCTCTCTCTCATTATCACGGTGGCTATGATATTTTAACTACCTCGCCTGGTATACAGGAGGACGTGGGTTCGATTCCAACCCTGACGCCTGCTGTATATTTGGAGTTTGCGGTGTGTCTCTCTCTCATCATCACGGTGGCTAGGATGTTAACTACCTCACCTGGTATACAGGAGGTCGTGGGTTCGATCCCAACCCTGACGCCTGCTGTATATTTGGAGTTTGCGGTGTCTCTCTCTCATCATCATCACGGTGGCTAGGAGATGTTAACTACCTCGCCTGGTATACAGGAGGTCGTGGGTTCAATCTCGACCCTGACGCCTGCTGTATATTTAGAGTTTGCATGTCTCTCTCCCTGTGGTCGCGTGGATTTTTCAGTTTTCCCCCCACATTTATAAACATGCGTTTAGAGTATTTGGCTGATTTAAATTTCCACGTGATGAGCCACTTCGTTGAGCTATCATTTGGCTTTATTGCTTTTGAAAATGACCTGTGTAACCAATTAAATAATAAAAAAAATTGTTTCGCTTATAAACTTGTGGAAATAAACTGGTGGAAATAAGTACGGATTAAAAATTATTTAACATCTTCGCCAGCATTTCTCAGTATTGAGGAGGCCAATGAAGTCAAATCGGTGGACTCATGGTAACAATAACAGTGAGCATGGTTGGCTATGCGCGATACGAAAGAAGTTCACCATACATACAACCCAATACCATTGAGATGTTTGGTGGAGTTCATCTTTTGCGGGGAGAGAGCGGCAAGATATAGCGAGGGGTTGCGTGCGACAACCAATAAATAAAAGCGAGATATCGATCAACGTTATCCTTAATCCGCTCGAGGAAATTAGAGAGGGAAATGTTCATCTTCTTGGTTCTTTCGGTAAAGTCACGTAGAAGGGAAGTAATAAATGTTCGTCCATTAAATGTTTTTTTAATTCAATTTTTATCGACTATTACATTTGTCGGGCGTGACGACGACTGTGACGACACGGAGTTCACCTCGCGGTCGTTGAGTCACGCCGTCGGAGAACGCAGCGGCGCCCGCCGGAGGCCAACATGGCCGTCGTATCGCTGACGAGTCACCAAGCTCACCGATTGGCCGACCTGATGACAATGGGCCGTGGAGATTTTAGCCAGACCAAGAAGCGTACTTGAAATGAAATACCACCGACTTGCGGCTGGACTAAATTCACCTTCGGGTTGTCCTCGGCTGAGACTAAATAAATGAAACAAATACGGGCTAAAATTAGTGCTGCCTAGGAGCATGTTTGTAATACATTCCGTCTTATCTTGCCCATGTCTCGCTCTTGCCCTCTTTCTAAACTCTTTTGTATTTTACCAGGTAAGGCCCACTGTGCTTATACGGCTCTTTTTCAGAGGCGACCTGGCTATCAAAAATGATAGCTCAACGAAAGTGGCTTACCAAGTGGAAATTTATAGCAGCAGCGAAATACTTTAAATTCACGTTGATTCTAAATGTGGAAGGTAAAACTGCAGGACCCCGGAGAAAAATGCTCGTGACCACTGGGAGAGAGACGCAAACTACAAATATACAGCAGCAGGCGTCAGGGTCGGGATATAAACCACGACCTCCTGCCTACCAGGCGAAGAAGTTAACATCTCCCCACCGCGCGGCGCTCCTTTATTCTCCCCTTGCCCTTTCTCCAACAGAGCCCCAACCCGGCACTGACGTTCTGCGTGAAGACCCATGACCGTGTCTACTACATGGTTGCCCAGTCGCCGGAGGCCATGAGGATCTGGATGGACGTCATCATCACGGGAGCCGAGGGCTACACGCTCTTCCTCAACTAGCCGCATCCCACCTCTCCGCCATCTTATTTGCGCATCCCCCTCTCAACGCCGCCATCGTGGATTTTGCAGCGCCGCCACTTTGGGCTCTTCAGCACCCGCCAGCGCTGCCACCGGAAGCTGTTGGATGCCACCATCTTCAGCCCTGCGACGGCGCGACACCGGATCGCCGTACTAGGAAATTTTGAATTTGGCGTTTCCACCATCTTTGTTTTCTACAGCCGCCATCTTGATCGATTCGTCATGGATTTTGCAACTCCACAATCTCATTTCTGCACCAGTTTGCTTTTTTCACCATCCTGCGTTGCGCTACTGCCAATTTGAAGTCCTGATGTCTTGGAAACCACTGATTCTCCACCTTGAACTCATTTTTATATTTTTAGCAACACCTCTGGATTTCCTCCGCCAAAGGATTTGTTCAACTCTCTTCCGCAGTCCGTTGCTGTATCGGCCATCTTTGACACGATATACGAAAACATTGGAATTCATATCGTAAACTTTATATTCCCGTACGCTCCAATATTATCAATCATATACACTTATAGCTCGACGTTCATGAATTTTATATCACTACAATACGTTTATATATTTGTTTTCTTTTTAGAAACTTGTAGGAATTATGAATTTTTGCTGCGGCCATCTTGAATTTTATTGCGCGTCCATATTGGGCATTCACCCGCGATCAACAATAGGCAGGACACAGCAATTGTGAACATACCAAAATCGGTGACAAAACAATTATACATTCACAGACCTCTCAATCCACTGTTGGATGAAGTCCACCCCATGCCCTTTTGGTTATGGGGAGGGGGGGGGGGTTGACCATACTTCACCGCGCAGGTTGGCCAACGGGGTGTGAGTCTGAGACGCAGATTCACATATCGTCTGCCACTTTTGTTCGCCGTTGTCGCAAATCGAACCCGGGAAGCGGGTTTGTAGCGCAGAGCGCTAAAATTCTGCGCCACCAATGCACCCGAAAATCGGACACAGTGTTAGGTAGAACTAAAGTTTGACAAACCACAGTCAGTTTAAATGCATGGAAAGACCGTCTCAAATACATGATGGGTGTTGGGTTTTTTTCCACAAAGTTAAAGCAATCCAACTTAATTTTTAGTTTTTTTCTTGCGATGCCATCGCTTGGTGGTGGTGGTGGTGTAACGGTCAGCAGTACCGCTGGACCTGCCAGTTCGATTCCTCCCGCCACGACAGCTGAAAAACGGCGAATTTTATTTAAATCCCCCCCCCCTCCCTTACTCCCTCTGTCCACCATTGAGCAGTTACGTCGATTGCAAGGGTCGCATGGGTGCGGGCTAAAGTGTGCGGCGCTCCCACCTCATTTGAAGGAATTTTTTTGCGAGATTGTGAAAGAATACGCCCAAAAAAATATACTCTTAAGTCGTGGGGCCCTTCTGTCTCCACGACGTGACCTCGTTCTCGTTTTGGCCCAACAGCAGTTCCTGGCACCCACCACTGCAACTCTGGGGGGAAAATGTGGGTGATGGTGTGGTTGTTTTAAAGAGCCGGTGCGGCATAAAGCCGTGGTCAATATTGCAATGACTGCAACTTTAACCTTACCTCACAGTCGGAACACACGACCCAACAAAGAACACACGCGTGCTAGCGGTAAACTTTAGCGCTTGAGGTATGTAAAAACTTTATTACTGTTGGAAGCACGCACACACGTAGAATTATATGTAGACATGCCTCCGTTACATATTTTCTCGATATGTCTTCTTTTTTACCGGAACAAGTTTTATTCTTGTGTTTGCGCGCAGATTATCTGGAACACTAAAAGAGAGCAATAAGGCTGGTGACTATCCTGGCGTACCAGGCTACGCGTCTTTTAGATTCGAAGCTTTCGTGACTGCAGGAATTACTCTTTGGTTCTTTCGGTACGCGACAGAAATTAAATAATAAATATAATGCAATACAACACAGAGAGTCGGCCAACACAACAGTCAACACCCCACCTGATTAATCACGTTCTTCCAAAGATTGCTAAATTTGAGAACGTGACAAAATACAGACACGGAGACACACAGACAGACACATAAGCAGAGAGAGGCTCACACAGAGACACACACATAGGCACACAGAAGTTTCTGTGTGCCTATGTGTGTGTCTCTCTGTTTGTGTGTCTGTCTGTGTGTCTCCGTGTCTGTGTTTTGTCACTCAAATTTAGACATCTTTGGAAGAACGTAATCAACTGTTATGTTGGCCGACTCTCTGTGTTGTATTGCATTATATTTATTATTACTTAATTTTTTTCGACGTGACTTTACCGAAAGAACTAAAGAGTAGTCTTCTGTCGCGTTGCCATCCAACACCCCGCGGTAGCTTTCGGTGTCCGACTGGAAGCTCGCCCCGAGGGTGAGCGCCCCTTTCCAATCGTACACCCCCCACCACCACCACCCGATTCCCCGTGCCCGTTTCACCTGTGCGCTGTTATTTATCGACATCAAAGCGCGTGTGTGAGTCGCACGGAGTCATCCACCGCTTTGCTTCGAGCAGTCGCTGCTCCTCCATCCTCGGCCATCGTGCATCGATCGCTGATCCCGGCGGGACACTGCCGGTGACCCCGGAGCAAAAAGACACAGGCTCCACGTCCCGTTCCGACTCGGGTTAATGATGTTTAAACACAGGTCAATCATGTTCAAACGCAGGTTAATAATGTTCTAATGCACGTTAATCCCGTTCCAACGCAGGTTAATTGCGTTCTTATAGCCTAACATTTTTTTTCATCTTCTCTGTTTTATTTTTATCTGGGTCATCGCTTCCGCATTACCCTCCCCACCCCGAGATAATGGAGAGTTGATTTGTAGCTGGTATCGACAAAAACGCCCACGTTACAGTATTAAGCAGTGCTTTGCAACAATTACCAACGTTTAGAATAATGTCCCGAAAGTCGGGAAAGCCGCAACCCACGTCGGCAACGTTTACCCGTTGCACCGTCAACGGCAACGTTGGACTAACGTTGGCATGTGGTTGTCAACCGTTGGCCCCACCGATTCCTTGTGTCCTGGGACTTTCTGAGTCTCGATAGGATAGGTCCTGGTCAATTGTGACGTTTGGCACAATTCCTTTTGCGATGAGCGTTTTTTTTTACAGTAGGCTTTACGTGCGGAGAATCGTGCGTGCGGAAGGGATAACACTAATAATATACATAGGTCAACCTATTTGCTGTTCTGCCTTTGAAGTGGGAAAACATCTGGCGAGGTTTTTTTTTCTTTGATAGTACACCTGAGTGGATCGCAAAAGTGGTGAGCTGAAATCCAAACATACACCACCATATCCTTCTGGTGTTGGTCAAATGAGTAACCACCTCGGGTTCGATTCAATCTTCCCCCGGCACAGCAGTTAAACTATAAACAATTACTTTACTTTAACCAGGTAAGGCCCACTGAGCTCCTATACAGCTCTTTTTCAGAAGCGACCTGGCTATCACATATGATACCTCAACTCACGTGGAAATGTATTTCAGCAAAATACACATGTCGATTCAAAATGTGGAGGGAAAACCCGGAGAAAAATGAACACGACCATGGGGAGAATATGCAAACTTCAAATATACAGAAGTTAGGGTTGGGGATCGAACCCACATCCTCCTGCATACCAGGCGAGGTAGTTAACATATCTCCACCATGTGCGGAGGTGTAAAGTGTGGTTAACCCCCACTTTCACCACTGGCACACGACTCACAACAGAAATTAACAACCTACGCGTCTTTGGGGTGTGGGAACATTCCGATAATGGTGTTTCTATACGGTCAACCCGTTACATCGATTATTTGACACCCGTTGTGTCACTCCACTGCTGGATGAGGACCCCTCCTCTTTGCCACGTCAGTCGTGCGGTGTTTGCTTTGTCATACTTCACTGCGCTGCTCAGTTGTTGGTCAGTCCAGTAGGATAGGCATCCTGAACAAACCGCCACGTATTTGCATGACGTTAGCCGCGGCCGAGAATTTAACTTGGGTATCGTTTGTAACAAAACATACTGCCCAATACTATTAACAAGTTGTTTAAAAGAAAAAGTGGCCTTTTAAAAACAATTATTGCCTTGATTTTTTTGTACTATTTTTGCCTCCCATGAAACCAAACTCCTCAATAATTCGTATTTTAAATTGGTCAGCCGCCATTTTCTTCATTCGCTCACCTCTGAAATAGCCACCATTTTTGTTTGATCCCAACCAAGGGCCGCCATTTTGTTTTTTATGAGTTTGACAAGTTACTGAAAATGGAATTTCATTTCTGTTTTATATTATTATTAATAATAACTTTACGCCGCAGAACAATTGTATTGATGTTGGAGAAACTACAAATAAAATATTTTTAAACGTATTTTTGTATGCGTCTTATGTATCAAGTGTTTTTTTGTGGTGTCTCACATGTGGTTGAGTTGTACCGCATGTTGCTTTGAAACGATGTCCGATGTTTCACTCCCACGTCCGTGGGAGCTTGCTCAGGAATTGAATGGAGTGGCTCACTTTCTCCCTAAACATCTCACCGATCTTCTTAAGTTTTATCTTCCACTGCGAAAACTTAAGAGATGCTAATTCTGCTCAACTCATTATAATTACAAATACCAGACGTTCGATGGGAAACAGAGGCTATTTTTTCCAGCCAGGCTCCGCGATTTTGGAATTCCCTTCCTCCTCGGTCTATGATGGAATATTGAGTTTGTTACACTTTTTTTAATCACGTCTTAAAACTCAACCTGTATTTACAACAAGTTTTCACTATAACGTTAGCTTCGGTGTGAAGCTTATGTTATAGTGCTGTATAAAACCAAGTTTATTGTGATATTATTACATTATTTATAGGTGTAGTGATAGGAGTTGGGGTAGTGATCGGAGTAATGATAGGAGTTGTACTAGGCCTGGTCGTAGCTGGGAGGTGGGGGCAGGGAGTACCAACAGCAGCAGGATAATGGGATGGGGAGAAGAGATGGGGGTCGTTTAAGCTACTAACGTGAATGCTGTGGACTGGCTTATACAGGGATTCCTTTACGAGTTAGGTTCCAGAGGTCTGTTCGTAAGTCGATTTGTTCGTAAGTCCAACTGTACTGTCGATTCCAAACACGTTGTACGGCATGTACACTCAACACAGGGAATGGCTTCAAAAGCTGTTTAATCTCCTGTAGATGTAGATGCCACCACCGCCATCTATTGCGCGGCGTTTGAACTTCTGACTCTCAGTCCGAACGGGCAACTGGACTCACGGACGGGTTTGTTCGTATCTCTGAAAGTTCGTAAGTCGAATGTGCGTAAGTAGAGGAGTCTCTGCACAACAATTGCACGTCAAATTACGTCCCGTTGCTTTTCTTTCAATCGCCATACGAAGCCACGAGGACATTACGGGCACGATACAATTCACGCATCTCGAACTAAAATGTCGTTTAGGCCATTCGAGAAACGAAACTGACCAGGTGTTTCATATCTCCGTGACCTTCGGTCTAATCCTTCATCTAGAACCTTGCGCCGGGGACAAAGTTGGGCGCAGATGCTGCGGTGAGTTAAGACGGCGCGGGACCCAGACGCCCATTCACTCCCTAACCCAGTCCCCGACTTCCCCCCCCCAGCCGCTTCCACCGCTCTTTCCGTCACAGTTAACGACAAAAACATGTAAAGGCACGGCCCTTGTGAGTCTGGATCTCTGTGCGAGTCTGTGCATCTCTATGTGTGAGTCAGTAGGTATATGTGAGTCTGTGGGTGTCTGTGGGTCTATTTGTGAGTCTGTGGATCTATCTGAGTCTGGGTGTATGTGGTTCTCTATGTGAGTCTGTAGGTCTCTGTGTGAGTCAGGGCTTCTAGGAGTCTGTGGGTGTGTGTGTGAGTCTATGAGTCTCAATGTGAGTCTGTGGGTCTCGGTGTGAGTCTGTGGGTTTCTGTGTGAGTCTGTGGGTCTCTGTGGGAGTCTGTGGATCTATGTGAGTCTGTGGGTGTCTGTGGGTCTATTTGTGAGTCTGTCGGCTTCTGTGTGAGTCAGGGCTTCTATGAGTCTGTGGGTGTGTGTGTGAATCTATGAGTCTCAATGTGAGTCTGTGGGTCTTGGTGTGAGTGTCTGTCTGAGCCTATGGGTCTCTGTGTGAGTCTGTGGGTCTCTGTGGGAGTCAGGTCTTCTATGAGTCTGTGGGTGTGTGCGTGGGTCCGTGGGTTTATGTGAGTCTATGGGCCTCTGTGTGAGTCTATAGGTCTCTGTGTGAGTCTGTGGGGCTCTGTGTGAGTCTGTGGGTTTATGTGAGTCTATGGGTCTCTGTGTGAGTCTGTGGGTCGATATGGGTCTATGGGTCTCTGTGTGAGTTTGTGGGTCTACGTGAATCTGAGCCTCTCTATGTATGTTGAACTTATTTAGCACTATACATAGCCAACCGTGCTAATCGGAAACGTGTGGGGGTGGGGGGTTAAGGACATCAAACTAAAACACAAAATCAGTTTTAAAGAAACATATTTTTAATCCCGATGATGATTTAAAGGTGCCAAAGCTCCCAGTGGTATCCGACTGACCAGCGCGTACGGTCGCGGTCAGAAAGGGCTGCTTGAGAGGCCATATCCGTCCAACACGGAAAAAAAACGCGGAGTACGGGGTGTGGGTAATGGGGTGTGGGGTATGGGATGCGGGGCAGTGGGGTGGTGTGGGGTAGTGGGGTGGTGTGGGGTAGTGGGGTGGTGCATGGGGTAGTGGGGTGGAGCGGGGTAGTGGGGTGGTGCGGGGTAGTGGGATGGTGCGGGGTAGTGGGGTGTGGGGTAGTGGGGTGGTGCATGGGGTAGTGGGGTGGTGCATGGGGTAGTGGGGTGGAGCGGGGTAGTGGGGTGGTGCGGGGTAGTGGGGTGGTGTGGGGTAGTGGGGTGCGGGGTAGTGGGGTGTGGGGTAGTGGGGTGGTGCATGGGGTAGTGGGGTGGTGCATGGGGTAGTGGGGTGGAGCGGGGTAATGGGGTGGTGTGGGGTAGTGTGGTGGTCCGGGGTAGTGGGGAGCATGCTGCGTAAATACACGTCTGGTCATGCCGTCGCACATTGTACCAC